GGCCGATATATCAGCTCAGATTATCGCTCTAACTCACCATTTCCTCTTTGTTCCTGAAGCCGGTGAAACACAGCGACAGGTTAAGCATTGTTGTGGAGTAGAGAGGACGGCATGAGAACTGCAGAGGCTGTGGGGAAGGGAAGAGGCAGAAATCAGTGCAATGAATGTGTTGAAAGACATTTTAATACTTTCAATATGATTAACATGACATAAATGATTATTTTTATGTCAGATAATGCATGACATTAACTGCAAAATGGCCTAACACCATCTTCCCTGTTATCAAGAGATGTACATTTTTATGATGTTCTGCGTGTGTGTGCGGTCTTCAGCGGACAAATATGTGTGGTGCTTCGTCTTGTTGAAAGCAGCCACAGTCAGGGCATATTGTTCATGTTTGACATTAGCATCCTATGTGAAGTCTCCGTCAGACAGACAGTGCGGCAGGCCAACATTTTCCATGTTAATTCCAGGTTGAAAAGGTTTGAGGAGCCATGTTTATCACCAACGTGGAGACATGTATTTTCGATCATTCATGTTAATTATTTCTAGATTACACCATTATGTGTGAATCTAGTTTGTGAGACATCTCAAAATAAAAGTGTTGTGAATAAGGGACTTACTTCCTCCTTTGCAGCACAGTGAAGCACAACAGGAGGCCCAATAATGCGGTTGTCGTGTTTGTAGAGGTAGCTGTAGTCGGGAGAATCAAACTCTGTGAGGACGAACACCGTCTCGAAATCAGTGTTCTCTCCGTCTCCAAACTCCTGGACGTTGTCTGTGATTATGCATGGCGTGTTGATGTCCTGAATGGGAAGAATCACAATGTGGAGAAATGGAGCAGTTCAAGGCAGGACTTGTGAAGCGAATGTAATATTCAGAAGCGCAGCAAATGAATCAGCAAATTACCAGTGTGAGTGTGAATGAAAGGTTTGTTAGCCTTGTTAGTCAGGCTGTTGGATGTTTAATAGTTAATTTTATTATAAGCAGATAATCTCTGTAATGAGCAAAGACTAGATTAAAATATATAAATTTAAAGGATAATAGCATAATTACTTTATTTGTTTCTTGTCAACAAATCCCATAATTGTGGAGGCAGAACTCCACATAAGAAAGAAAATCACGTAAGTGTGATATATTATAGCCTGATTGAGTTGTTATGCTGGAGAACGTTGGTCCAATATTCATCCTGCTTTTGGCTGTGTTTTGGTCTCCAACAAGTCCTGCACGACCATATATTTGTTTTACTACAGACCTAATTCCTCACTCAAATGTAATCCAGTAAGTAAACTGCATCACAGGAGGAATAATCAAATAATCAAATAATAACTGATTCAAATGACAACATTTGGTGCTACTAAGCAGTTTTTAAAAAGATTTCAAAAAAGATTTTATTTGAAATATTTTCTTCCATGTACCAAGTTCGGAGGAGCTCTTAATACCACAGTAGCCATCTCCAATCAATCAAGGAAAATAGGTGTAGGGAAGACTGCAGTCCACAATTATTCACTCTTACACATACAGTAGACACAATCATATTCTGTCTCTCTGTGCTATACAGCAAAACAGAAAGAAAAATGCTCAGTGCTGCATAAAAACAATCAGTTCTTCCCACTCAGATGAGAGAATGCGTTACTTTGAATCAGTGACTTTGATAACAGAGAGCAGAAATTAAATCACAAACTAAGTGTCGGGCTGCTTATGGGCAGAGCTGGCAGTGCAGGAGGGGTGAAATTACTTGTGCTACCTGTAAACCTGCCCATAAAACAAATTACCTCAGAAAAATTTGTTCCAGTAGGTGTCACAGGACAAATGCAGAAGAAGTGGAGAGGCATCGACGGAGTGACACACACAGTTAGAATTACATTTGGTATTACACGGTTAGGATCCACACTGCTTTAGACACCTGTGTGTTAAAGGAACAGTTGAACATTTTGGGAAAACACTTAATTGCTTTCTTTCTACAAAGATGAGATGAGCAGATCATTTGACAAGTAGTATACCTTAGCTTGGTGTAAAGACACAGAACTGAGGGAAACAGCTGGCTCTGGCTAAGATTCAAAAATACACCTCCAATCATGACTACAGTCCCTATGTCCCGTTTATTTAATCTGTACATGTGATTTAGAGTCTACAGCCATGCTAGCAGCTCTATAAGTGCCTTGAGCAAATGCCACCATCAGCATGCTAACATGCTAATGTTCACTTTCTTAGTTTAGCATTTTAGCATGCTAACATTAGCTAATTAGCACAAACACAAAGTACAGTGGTGGCTAATAGGCATGTCAGTTTTGGACATATATATACTTTATTTAATTTTTAATAAGTTTTTAGAATACATCATTTGGAAACTATGAACACCTGTACCAATTGTGTACCCATCCATCCAGTTATTGAAATATTTCACAGGATAAGTAGAAACTTTGACTTTGGACGAAGCCAAGTTTTCCCCCTGCTTCCAGTGTTGCCAAGTTAAACTAACCACGTCCTATACTAGCTGTCAACACATGAGATGATCGATCTCTCACCTCACTCTCAGAAAGACAACAAATGTATGTATATATTTTCACAAAATGTTAAACCATTTCTTTGAGATTGCACTCAAAAATCAAAGCTTCTGTGAATTGCTATTGATCACACTGGTCTAATGAGACCTTGTGTGTGCAAACAGATTTTCATTGGACTGCTTACAACTTTAACCTCTGTATTAACAGCCTGAAACTAGCCATTTCCAAATGCCATGAAGCTAAATAGAAAGCCCTTTAAATGACTTTAATATTACTCCTCAGCCTAGAAACTAGCATTGACATTTGAGTGAAAATCTCCGTTAGAGAGCAATCCAGATATCAAGTATTACATCACTTACATTTAAATATTTACCCACAAATCAATTCACCATCAGTGACTTGGCCATGCACAATGATTGAGTGAGTACTCTGTGTGAATTAAGAGTCATGCAGCCCTTCCCAAAGTTCCCATCAAAGTGTCAGACAGTCATACGGAGAGGCAGACACTGTACTGTACCATATTGACTATAGATTTTATCATCATTTTCTCCTCGGCACCCGCCTCGCCTTCTCTTATCTTTACCACCGGTACTTCCATTACTCTGATGGCCTGTAAAAACCAACCAGCAGGAAGTGCATGTCAAACACTGGCATTTGAAAGGAGGACAGAAACAGAAAGAAATGGGGACGGGCAGTAGGTTGAGAGAGAATGAGAAACAAAGAAAGAGAAAGAAAGAAACCCAGAGACAAATTCATAAACATTAACCTAACATGAGGGCAAAATAGAGGCTGGGTTTAGGGACGCAGGTAGGAGGCGAGGACGAGACAGGGAGGGGTCCGTGTCCTTGTAAAGTCTAAAGACAGTGACTTCAAACAAATATCACAGCTTCAGAGGGGGTAGTCTGGGGAGGAGAAGAAATTTCTGTTAAAAATTAATATAAAAGTTCAAAGCCCTGAGGAGGGAAGAGGAGAGGAGGAAAAGAAGAGGACAGAAAGGGAAGAGGACGGAAAGAAATGGTGGGGGGGCCCTCTTTTTCTGTGGGTTGCATGAGCGCTGGCGGCGGGCGGTCAGGCAGGCAATCGGGAGCATTCTGATGGAGCTGTCGGCGGATGTCTTTGGATGTGGCTGCACTGCAGATTGGCAGGGAGAAATAGATGATTTAAGCAGGAAGCCTTCATAAGTGACAGGGCTCAGGAGACCTGGAAAGGAAGTCATTCTAGCAGCACTTAGTCTGCCGCCACGCCTCCAAATCACCTTCACATGGTGCTACTCAAAGACACAAAACTATGCTGCTTACTGGAGCGGACACAAACACGCACGGATAGACACATACATATGCCCATGAAAAAGTCATTTTGACAGGATGTGCTGTATGTATGCATGTATCAGTTCAATTTGTGTTTGTTTAAAAGGAAATAGAACATTAACCAGACAGTTTCTCGGTTCTGTAGTGAGCTCCAGTCATAACTTGCAATGCTTCCTGTCTGCTGAAGAAAAAAAATACAAAAATGGATGGACTAACATTGATCATGTGATGAGTAAGTCCATAAACGGTCGATTTAGAGCTTTGAAGACAGAAGACAGCCGCTGTCAAATTTAGGACCAAACGCCCTTCAATGCAACTACTACTACCTACATCAACCCACCAGTAGAGATGTTCCGATACCATTTTTCCCCTCCCGATACAGATTCCGATACCTATGCTGTGCGTATCGGCCGATACCGAGTACCGATACGATACCGAGTTATTATATTAAAAAAAATATCATACACGCCTGCATGACGTGTATAGATTATCAATGGTATAAGGCCCCGGCCTCAGGCTTAAACCCTTTGTAAAGACGGATACAATACAGCAAATCACAGCCTTATTTTTAACTATTATTTTAAAATAAAAAGTATACAAATAACTGTAGTGCAACAGCAACTAATAATAAATCTAGGAATGTAAACTATTTATATAAGCGCAGGCCACAATATGAAAATGAAAGGACAGTAATAAATTAACAGTAGATCGCAACCAGTACTTAATTAAATAAAACATCCAGGAATAATATTTTTTTAAAAATTAAAGTGCAGCCACAGTATTGATAAAATGAAAAAGCGCCATTTAAATAGACAGTATAAAAAATAGTCCCAACAGCACTTACGAATGATCTTTCAAAAAAACCCTATATGTGCAACACCCAACCTTATAGTAAGAAATGACATGTCACAGTCTTTCTGGTGGAGATGTCAGTCGGTGTGATAATATGCCCACACCGCCGACCATGAAGGTGCACTGAGCTAGCTGCCAAGCCTCCGTCAACCGGCTCTGACACACGTTGTTGTGTCTGGTTGTGTCTGTGTCATCGTGATCGATCTGCCTCGTCCCTCTAAAACAGCACTCCAGGTTGCAGCAGCAGCACCACTGTTTAGGAGCGTGAAGAAAACTGACCAGAGCTTAGCGGGACGCTAACGCATAAATACGACTCACTAATTAATACAATGACGCTGGTACAGATCGGTGGCCCTGGACTCCAGTAGCCCGCCGATGACCGATGCCTAGCATTTCGGCAGTAATTGGACAATTCCGATACTGGTATCGGAATGGAACCAACATCTACTTACAGCTACTTAAAATAAAGACCTGACCATTGGACACTGGTGATTAGCATACATTCCAAGTTCATAGGAGAGGTTCCACCTGGAAAACTGTTAGCCTCAACTAAAGTGTCAAATGCTAATACCAAATGTAATGAGCAAAACTAATCGTGCCTAATTCTTAGTGAAGCTGACAAGGTTAGGTCTTTTACAAAAGAGTAAAGCCGTGGAGTTCGACGGTGAACTCCTGTGGCAGATCTAGGTTACTTTGCAAGTATGCAGGAAAGCTTGCACTAGCTAGGCCAGCTCACTTGTCAAAGAACAGCCGGGTGCATCGCTTTGTATGAATAACTGATAGTGTTGAACAATTGTTTTTTTTGTTTTGTATTTGGTAAATCATGAAAAAATAGGCTACTACTGTTATAGAACTCAGTAGCTGAGACCTAAGTAGGTTCACAAAACCAAACCAAATGATAGTGTCATCACATGACACAAAATCCTGGCAATTTCTAGAGTGCCCCGCATCGCCTAGCCCTAAATGACTTAATTTATCTACATAAAAGACCTTGGTCTCACGTGGTGACTAACAACGAGGTGACGAATCACGGTCTCAGGGCAGCAACAGCTCAAGAAGGCAAGGCAGGTGGGGACAGATGCAAATGACAAAAGGAGAACAGGCTGTTGAGCAAAACAGCTGTTTACTGAATCACAGGCA